TTGATTATTTGATTCTGGTCGTAGAAAACAAAGCTATGCTGGAGAGGAGGGTAACCTTTAAAGGCTGTCTAAAGAGGGATCACCCCAGGGTGCTACAGCATGTGACTCACCAGCGGACACAGTCAGACGGTCTTTTCTTGGCTTTTAGAGGAGGCTTGACCAGAGTGATTCAACAATGATATGACAAGAAAGAAATACATCATGAGCATTGAGATTGATGTGCAGAAAGTCATACTCGGTGTATCTTTTTATCAAGGCTGCAACTTACAGCTATTTTCATTATCGATTAATCTATCTGTTAGTACTTTGATTAATTGATTGTTAAAGTACACTCGTGTCCACATGCTCCGGGATAAGGCTGGCTCTCTTCTTGTAGTCTGTGTTTCCTGTTGCAGAGAAGATGTGTTAAGATGGTGTTGAGCAGCCAGGGATGCATAAGTACGACTTTGCTTACCTGGCAGAGGTGGGATATCTATTCTTGTTAACCTTCCACCATCGTAGTGGATTTTCATCCTTGGCAAGAAGGCTTCTCTCCAAAGTATGTGAGGACTTTGTTCCCCACTTGACGTTTTACATCCTCCTCTTCCCCCTCTCTACGCTCCTCTTCACTGCAGGAGTGAGTCAAGTAAACAAAGATTTGCTCAGGTGTCAGACGCTTCAATTTGGTGAGCCCTCGGGTTTAGGGCAGAGAAGAGGATCACTGTTATTGTTCGGTTTTGTGTCTGAGAAAGTATCTTCCATGGCTGTTGGAGCTGCTCCAAAGCAGTGACTTGGAAGCGGACTCAAAGGAAGCACTGTGGGTGGTTTTCACTAGCCCCTTCACAAGTGGAGGTACTGTAGAGATGGTGGTGTAGTTCTTCCCACTCAAACACAGTGGCACATTCTAAGGGGCTGTGGAGAAGCTCTTCAAGCAGTTGAGTCAGACAGCGATGCAGTTACAGGCCACCTTTTCTCAAACGGGCGAATCATCTATTTTTTTAAATGTTCCACAAGACAGCTTACCCAGAAGCTTTTTCACCAAACAGGGTCTCTTTGAAGCAGCCTATCGCAGTGTAGAAAGACATTCAAACAGGTAATTGAACCTAACCTGTATGTCTTTAGACTGTGGGACGAAGCTGGAGCACCCGGAGGAAACATGCAAACCTCATTATATGAATGTCATTCACAATACATTAGATATACATAAACAGAAAAGAAGAAACTACCACTCACTCTGACAAAGGGCTCTAATCCCCTGTGTCACATGATCACTTTGCTGGCCAGCTCAGCCGGTTCATTTCCCCATTTTAAATTTCGAGGACTTTAAATTGATTAAGATTGAGGGTTTAATGACGATAGTATTTAAATTTAATGGAGAAAGCGACACAGCAACAGGCTACAAGTCATTCTCAGTGGAAGCCGTTGACATGAAGCTGCAAATCAAAGTGATGAGGCGCCAACCAATCATATGCTTTCTTTCCACCCTGTTCCATGAGCCAGTTTACCAATTTGGTGACGCTGCTTGTAGCCGTTACGCTCCAAGTCGTTCAAACAGCCTTCCAGAGAGTAGCTGAAAATATGAATATGTAAAAACCCCTCTATTCAGTCAAGCTTTTATGTGGTGTTTTAAAATGTTATGGCTTTTTATTATTGCTATTAAGTCAGAATTTATACATTATCTTATTTGTCATATTTCTTATCTTTGTACATTTGTACAGCTGGACACTATGACATCGGTAGTGTTAAATTACAGGTCGGATGTGATTTTGTCTACACTCACTTTACAACCTCTCTCCATTGGTTTTGAGGTCAGTTTGACAACGTATTCAATCACGCTAATGATGCAACGTTGTCCTTGCAGGTGTTTGTGTGGCTTCTCTGTTGACAGGCTCAGCCTTCCTCTGGGGAAATCATCCTCCCTTCATGGACAAGTTCTTGCAGGATGTTGTGTGCAAGGGCAGGTCATGGTTTACCATGAAGTGACAAACAAACACACACACACACACACACACACAGACAGGGACACGCTCCCAGGGATCCCCGAGATCCGAGGGGAGGGGGATTTTTGCGGGAGTGTCGGTGAAGGTGACGCGCGCCCAGAGGGTCTGCGAATCACCAACGCGGCATGTTAATATGTGTAGAAAGGGTCGTCTTGGGTTACACACTGTTGCCCAACATCTTTGGCGTCTCCCCGCTACCCAGCCAATCACAGCCAAGGACTTCGTGATGCAGAGCCCCTCTTACTGGAGGGATTCCTAGGAAGTGCCGTGTGACGATTCTGGGCTCAAACAGCCCAGAATCTCCCTCACGCCTCCTCTTCCTCCTCCTCCTCAGACTCTCGCCCCCCCCCGACTTTCTTCCTCCCAGCCTTTTTCACGAGGTGCGTCCGCCGCTCGTGTTTGAACAGAAGGTGATCTAGCGCCATCCACGCTGCTCCCACAAGACTGGCTATATAGACGGCAGTCAGAGTCATCATCCAGCCCTCTTTCTCTCCTCCTCCCTCTCTCCTCCAAACAAAGCTCCACCTCTCACTCCCTCTCTCTCTTTCTCCCTCTCGTTTCTCTCCTCACACTAACACTCACAACACACACACACACACACACGTACTCTCTCTCTCCTCAAGACTCCCTTCTCCTACTCCAGATGAGCGTGCCTCGTTGTCAGGGCGAGCAGATTCGGAGCTGAAGGTGTTCTCTTGTTGCCAGGTAGGAGCGCACATTTCCTCCTTTGGGCTACCCCAGAAGTTACAAAGAAACAGGGGTGCCCCTTGTTGGTTTGTGGGTGTGTTTGTGCGGCGTGCTGGATGCGTGTTGATGTCTAGGTGACATAATCAGGAAGGGTGGAGTGCTTCGAGGGTGAAACTGGGTACTTTGCTCCAACTCCCCAACCACGCTCCGTGACATAAATATGTTGGCGCCCGATTTTGTTTTCCCGCCGCGCCTTGACATCGCCATGTGCACTGTGAAGGCTTTTTTTGGCGTTCGCTCGTTTGCTGGGAAACTGCCGTAGGTAGAGGGTGGAGCGCAGCTGGTGATATGAGATCAGCGACAACATATAGAGCATGTCTCTGGTTGCGAGGGGAGACCACGGTGTGGATGTGTGGGCGGATGGAGAGACGAGGAGAGGAGGGGAGGGGAGGGGAATGGAGACGGAAGACGAGCAGCTGCTTTCATCCCATGGAAGCTAATCCCTCCGTTTGTTCACCTCTCTCTATCAGATAAAAACCAGCCGTCTGCTGCTCCGGTGCCCTGTCTTTCTTTTCTCTCTCTCCACTCTCCTCCATCCTTCATTTGTGATGGGTTTATCTCAGGCAGGGAGGAAAGAGGCAAGCTATTGATTCGGAAATGAGCTGTAATGCCATTTGATAGGGGAACAAGACATCCCTCTCTGTCTGTGACTTTTCTCCTGCATGCTTTTGTTCCTCTCTGTACCTTGTGCTGATAATCTATAATACAAACTCAGCAGTGATAATGAATTCCTACCTTAAGCATGTGCATCTACACAGTGAGCAGATACAATTGAAAAGCCACTTGACTTGCAGAAGGTGCCCAATATCTCTGATGTTTTTGTGATTGCTGGGAACCCCCCCCCTGCTGTAAAGGAGGCTTATCACCCACCACAGGTTGACTGATAGATTGCCGAATGGCTACCGCACGGTGCACATGGAGCCGAGGGCTCCCGGCTCTCGGCAAACACGTCAAGCATATCCGCGGTGATTGTACCGCGGCTTTGCTGACAAACAAGGTATCGCAGGGAGACGGGCGGCCTATCACCTCTCGCCTGCTCCCGGATTACCTAATATCTCAGGAGGCAGGATCCAGCCAATGCAACAGGAGAGACAGAAAAGGGAGAGGAGGGGGAGGGAGGAGGGCCGGGGGTTGCTCAGGTGTTGCCGTTTAGCCCGGTGCTTGGAATACATTAGCCGAGGAAGCCTCCCGTGTGTCAGAACTGTTACCAGGTGACGGAGGGAGCGAGAGCGAGGCGGCACTCCACGCCCCCCCCCCAACCCAAATCTAAATGACCCCTCAGCTCATTTCCCAAGGCAGAGCTTATGTTTACATACTCTCTGGGAGCTTCTGCAGATGCTCCATTTCATAAGCACTAACTGAATCAGACAGGCCGAGGCTGTGCCTGTGCTGATGGATGCAGCGTGGACTGTTGGCGGGGAATAGCTTTTTGAAACGTAGAGGGTATTTCTTTCATTCGTCTTGAGTTTCAGGGAGTCTTGACTAAGTGTTAGTGTCGCCCAGGACTTTAAAAAAAAAAAATGTGTGATGATGAGACAGTTTGGGACACAATAAAGCTTTAGAGATATTCTAAATACATCTTGTTGCTGTAAAACACACGTCATCCTAATGATGATTTTATTTACACCAAGCTTAAAAAAGGCTGCTTGAGAGGGCGGTGGCAGATGTTCACTCCCAAACTGATCAAGTTGCCAGACAGCTTTCGCCGGAGGTGTCGTCATGTTTCATCAGGCTCGTTACAGAGCTATTAATAATAGTAAAGGCCAAGAGCCAACGATGTCCAAGCAACGCTAACCTTTTGTCTGGGCCGAGTAATGTTGAGTAAACTTCTTTGACAAAAGAAAGCCAAAGGCAAGGATGAAAGGGCATCTACCAGGCTTCCTTTGCATTCGGCTGAAGCCTCTCGCTTATTAACAGTTGATTAAAAAGATGGAGGGGAAACGAGGGAAAAGCACGCAAGTGTAACAGAAAGCAGCAGGACAGAATGATAATGAGACGGGTGTTTGTTTCTGCTCTGGATAGCAGTACAAAATGGAGGCTAAAAATAGCATTTCTCCCATGATTTGACCTTGCGTGGCCATTTGGTGGTGGGCGCCCGAGAGGAGGGACGTGCCCACAGCGGTGACACCGTCACCACAGAGGCCGACTCACGCTGGTGGAGATGGATTTTCCTGCTTGTTCTCCGGGTCCATTTACCGCCATTTACTCTTCGTCTTCTCGTCATCATCTTCTCCTCGTACCATCATAATCAATGGTTGTATAGACAAATGCAGTGATTAATTATGCTGATGAATGATTATAGCTTTTTTTAAGTAGCTCAGTCTTGTGTTATATAACGAGGTCCTTTGGAGTTGATTATTGATTGACTATTACTTACAGTCTAGTCACTATCACTGTGCCACTGCTACAGTAGGGTTAGGTCAAATACATTGATTGAACACTGTAAAAAAACAAAACCCAATGCTTCTCAATGTTTTGTTACAATTGTTAAGTCAGTATGTTATACGTTTTATTTTGAAACAGGAAGTGTCCTGTAACTTGTCAGGTGACTTATAATCAGGAAGTGAAGGAAGAGCGTGGCTCAGAGCCGCTGTTTTCTGTAGTTTTCCAATCCAGTTGAGTCTGCCTGCATCTTATGCCTTTTGATAGCATCATTGGTATGTATTGATTTGTTTTATTGTTACTTATGATCGCAGATGATTATTTTTGTGACTGTTTAGTTTTGGGAAGTTTTATGCACAAAGTCCATCGAGTCATTAGTCACTCCGCTATGACTGTTAAAGTTCGTATCAGCAGTAAATACATAAAAAGCAGCGATTAAAAACAAAGCAATGTATTTCATTGAAGAATCAGTATATGTACATTGTGTGTATGTGTAAGGTTAAAGAGAAATCATTTTATTTGTATTCATTATGCCTTTTGTGTGTTGTAGTTTTACTCTTTCTTACGTCATTAAACCTGTGGACAACGGGCACTGTCTTCAGAGTCGTGATGTCAGGAAGGAGTTTGTCTAACTGCCAAGGTGTATCACAGCACATATACTGAGGGCAGCACACTCAAGCTAACGTAGTATGCAAGCCCACTGGCCTTGAAATGAGGCCGAGCAAGAAGACATGACAGTCGATCATAGATCAATCTGTCATTTCAATTTTAAACTGCAAAACGAGAGACAAAGACAAAAAAAGAACGACACAAAGTCCACACGCATCACTCCTCAAATGTACTTCTTGGATCATCAAGTATGAAATCTCGCTAAATGAACTCGCTCAGTGTTTCGGTTCCTCCAAATGAACATGACTGCACACAGTTTTCTATTAACTGTGTCTGTTTTCTTCGTGGAAATGAAATATTAAACGCCTCTCGTTAGCGAGCCGGCGTGGCACCGCTGAGTTGAGTTCATTTTCTACAATGTGGTTTTGTAAATGTACCATGCCTTCAGTGCATCTGCATTAGATATAGACTTGTTTTCTCTGCTAAATATTTACACAAGCTTGTCCGTGAATCTGCTTGTACCCCATCTTTTCTGCTGAAGGCTCAAAATGTGAGTTTTGAGTTGAGTTCGCTCACTTGGATTGCTTTCCAGGGTCAAAACAGGGGATTGTTGGCAATATTTCACACTCTGACTCATCGGTCGAACTCAATTAAATAAACGAATGGGGAAAAAAGAAGCTAAACGATCTACCTGAATTGATTTTCCTGACAATGACAGCATATATTATGTTCATCCTGAACCATTTCAATCATCCTGATCATTTCTGGCCCAAAATCTTATTAAGTGCTTCATGGCGAAGCTACTCCAACACTCTTTGGGGAGAATTTAGATCGATTTCTTTACAGAATCAACCTTGTGGAAACAAATCAGTTTAAAAGTCTAAAGTTGCTCGAGCTATACAGTAAGATTCAGCTGGAAACGGAGAATGATCCCGCCTCATTATTTTTTATTCCACCGGAGAACATTTTACTGAATTCCATCATGCAGTGAAAAGACACTAATTGGAGAAGGTCCTCCTCGTAGCTTTTATTAGGCTAAGCTAACTGGTACCCGTGTTGCTTTAAAGGCCCGACACCGATGAGTGAATCTGAAGCTCAGTGTTTGACAGGGTGTACAGAACTGCTTGATCTCTGTAGACCCACCGAGATAAGACTCAGATTACATGATCAATCCACACGCTCTCACAACACATTCTATCGACGGAGCTAAACGGAAACACATACATATTCTTTTCAAAAATGATGCCAGCCAAAGTAGGCGGTGTCATGGTTTTGTACTTTATGAGCTTGCAGCAAACAACGGCTACGCAAAGACATGAAGGCCCCCTGCCAACTTTTATCAATGGAGTACTATTCGATGTTAAGATGCATCGCGGCGCAGACTTGAACGATGCTGCATCGACGCCTCGACAGAACGTAGTCGAGAGTTTGGGTTGATTTCAGCTCGGTGTGAATCTTTACTGCGTTTTGCTGTCATGTACCGTCTGTCACGCTTGTTTCTCTCTCCTCTGATCTCTGTGCTTCACCGAGGGCGAAGCTTTGCAGGTAATTGCAGAGAGATGACGCTCGGCAGTCCGCTAACTTGTTGCTCTCGCTGCCAATATTAGCTTCTCTCTTTCAACAATGGTAAAGAAAATGGTTTATACAAATTGTTCGAATTGTTGACAGGTGAATCGTGATCACCACTAAATTGTGACGCCAGTGAAGATTCTTAACACTAAAAGTTTGATCAGTACACAAATGTCACGGCAACAATCATTTGGCACCAAAGATGTGAACAAAATTTTGAAAAAGCATTTCAGAACTGACAATCAAAGTTCTGTCGGCTACCTCCATCAGGCAGCTTATTTGACAGTGGAACACCACATGGTGTAAAGCTGTTGAACCTAACAAAGCATGAGTGGGACCTTTTTTTCCCCCTCACAATACAGCAATGTCTAATGCATCCAGTCAAAAACAACACGTCTGTGTCAGATGTGTGTCTGCCTCGGTCTGCAGTCTGCTTGATTAAATACACATAAGTGAACGGCTTCAGCGTTAATTCATGTTACGATGACTTTCATTGAGGTTTGCCTTCCTCAAAGAAAGTCTTCACCTAAAGTTATTCGTTTTCACTGCCTCATAAATGTACAAAGTGTATTTAAGGAAGTTGTGAAAGCATGGCTTTGTCATGACTGTCCGTCAGAGAGATTTTCATTTTGAGAAGTTATCTTTGGTGTACATGTATAGCGACGGTGGCAGAGGGATGGGGGGAGGGGTGTGTGTGTGTGTGTGTTTCATTGTGATACTGTAGTTAAGGACGAGAAAATGATTTTATGGCAAAACTTCACAGTCTGAGAGCTGTAATTTTAAAATCCCCTTTAGGGGGGAAATTGCTTTTGCCCTCGCACGATTTTTTAATATCCTGATTCGTACTCCGGGCTGCTAAAACGCATCATCTACCCGCAGCGTTTCTCCTGCAGCTGCCCGAAGGTGCTTTGTGGGGAAGTTATTAGAGATTAATACCATTGGGGTGTGTGGGTTGTTGCTGAGAGACACAAGCCTTGCCCCGTGTGCTCCACGTCTGTCCTCCTTAGCCCACGGCCTCGCCTCGACATAGTGGGCGAAAAATCCCCTTTGCCTAATGAAAGAGTAAATGAATTATTACTGAAGGGCCCGTGGCATTAAAAAAAGAGGCCCTGGAGGACATTTTCAATGTTTCATGAATGTAATGAGGCATTGGCCCACCTTTGTATTCCTGTGCTTACCTGAAACACTCATGCACATCCTCCTAGCTCTAAAGACATCCCATGATGCACCTGGCGTGCTGATATCAAGGCAGTGTCTTATTGGAAGAGAAAATAGAAGAGGAAGTGCCCCCTCACCTCCAGGGCACTGTCAGTAATAACCAACTGTTCTTCTTTGTGTATTTTCTTGTCTGAGGTGATCAGATTAGAGGTGCTCCGCTACGGTCCCCTGTTGATTGAGTCCCTCTGTATTGGCAGTGTAATTGTCAGCATAGAGATGAGCCTGGAATCTAAATTACTAGTGTCCATTCTTCACCTTGTCTCCCATTCGCGAGTCTGTAAGAGTAAAACAGCTTTTCATTTATTTATTTTTGCTGGAAATTAAGCGACGCGGACCGAGAATCACAAAGGCTGAATGAATGCATCAATTTGAGCACAATGACACATTCACAACTCGGAGCATCACGCTGTGTTTTATCTGAGGCAGTAACAAAAAAAAAGGCTGATTGTGTTTTTTTACAACGTGTACAAGCTCACAATCCTCCAGAGACTCCGTCGGTGTCCCCGAAATGTGTCGAGCACAACGAGGGGAAACGGGAGACGCTGTGTCCATGGAAGTTTTATGGACATACTCCTGGGCGCCCTCGTAGGACGCACGAGTCAGAAAGCAACACGACACCCAGCAGCATGTGCAAGATACAGCTGCATGATGGGATAAGGAGGAAAAAAAGCAATTAAAATCAGTGTCACCCTGCACCGCCCTGTTCGTGTCACAAATGACCTTGGTGGGTGTAAAATGTGTCGCAATGACTTCAACATGTGGAAGCATGAATAGTTTTCACAGACAACTTATGGCGTCTGTCTCACGAATGCGTTTTGGACTGAGGAGAGCAGCCTCCTCAAGTGAGCCACTTTGCTTTTACGGCCAATCAAGGTCATCGGATGCTTATTAAATTCACCGTGGACGGATTAAACGGAACAAATATGCAGGCACAAAATCAACGGAACATCCTTCATATTTTCATGCGACTCTACTTTGGAGATGATTCACAGCAAGGTAAGAGGGGTGACTCCTTGTTCCCCGTGTTGGACAGGAACCCCCCCAGCCCCACTGTGGAAAAGAGATGGCGAGGGAACGCCGAGTGATAAGAAGAAGAAAAGGCATTCCTCCCCTCTCGCGCCACCTTTTCCCATCTCTGGAACCCGACCATTCTCCATCACCGCCGATGTGTGCGCTCCGCTGAGATTTGCCTCTGATGCAAACATTCTCCTCGTTTGTCGCCATGGTAACCAAGTCTGCTGCCTGCTGTAGGTTGTCATGCCAGCCGCCCCCCCATGCTCTTCCTCACTCATTAGCTCTGTACTGTAGATGACACGTGCGAGCGCTGTACATCCTTCCCGTGCGGTCCGTCTAATTGTCGTCACGAGCCGCTCTGGTGACGTCTCGTGGTCCCCTTCCTTCCCCCGAGCGGCTGCTCTCAGAAGACGTTGCATGCTATTACACCCTCGACTACGGGAATGTTTTTCACTTGAGAGGACTGCCAAGCGGCACAGCCAGAGTTGATTGCTTGGATAATAGCACAACCAGCCAAAAGCCCACAGCTCAGAAGACGAAGGAGATAGAACAGCAAGTGGCCTCAGTTTCCACTCCTCTTGTTTACTCTGCAAACCAATTCATCCTTGAAAAATGGAGCAGCCTGACATGTTTGGGGCTCCCCGTGAAGGATGATGCAAATGTGGAGGCATATAGGTCTGCGCTTCATGGCACAGCCAGGCTTCTTGGCGGCAGGGGGGCAGACAGGGGCCTTTCTTCCAAAACATGTCCACCCAGTCAGACGAAAAAACACTCATTACCACGGCGCCACGGGGCCAAGCCGGCCCACTTGGGGATAATAACAAGACATCGGCTTAAATTTGATATAATGCTGGCGTACTGGGTA